GACCCCACCTTTGTCCCCTTGCAGGAGGAATACACCCAGCACATCCGAACAGGCCAGGGCCTTCCTGACAGCTGCCGAGGTCGCACCTTCATGCCGCTGAACAACACCAGGCACCAGGCTGGCCTCGGCCAGGTCCGCCACAGGGATGAGCTTGCCCTTGTTGCTGGGCATAGCTCCCGCGCCCTGTTCCGAGTCACCACCGTCCAGGGAACGGCATGTTTACCGGGACGTTGCACGCGTCGCCAAGCGTTCACATGCAAGCCAAAGTGTGTAGCAGTTGGGTGTCCGCTGGTCCTTGCTCCTGGCCTCGGCGCATGATCGGATGGATCTAGGCACTGAACTGACTCCTGAATGTGCTTCCTAAGAAGCAATCCTGTCCTTGTGCCGTCAGATGTCGGCGACGCGGTGCGCGAGGGGCCAATTGGCGGTCCGGTCGGTTGGAGGGAAGTAGCTTCCCGCAGTGAAAATCCGGCTCTCCAGCACAAATTCCATCAGTCCGTGTGTCCTTCCCAGCAACAGTGCACCGCCATTACATACGAATGAAGCCAAGCCACTCTGGCAAGATTGCAAGGAGCCCTGCTTGAACATGCCGCGAAAAGAACGCCTGCCAGCCTAGAGTCATCATGACCCCGCCCACAGCTCCTGCCAAGACTTGGGCAGGGGAGTGGTAGCCCAAATACACGCGTCCCCAGCACACAGCTGCAAGAAGACATGTGATGAGCAGGTTCTCCACTCCGAGCCAGAGCTCCGCAGCTGCTGCTCGGGACTGCAGCCCCCTACCTGCACTGCTTGTCCTTTGTGGGGGATGCACTGGCTTGGGCCTTCGCAGCAGGGTGGCCATCCAGAGGCCTGCCATGACCTGCACCAGGAGGGCAGAGAGGGCCGGTGTGCAGAGTGTGATTGTGGACGGTGCAGCTGAATCTCAACGAGCCCTGCCCAGCGAATGCGTTGCCTGGCTCGCTGGGATCATGCATGATGACACTGTCTCATGACTCTCTCAGTCTCATGCTCCATGGGACAAACTATTATCGCACCCTCACCATTGCATGCGAGCTGGGCATGCCATGTGAATGGCACACATTCAGTGCCTCGCACAGGGCTGTGGGTCGGCGGTGTTGTAAAACATTCTTAGCCACAATGCTGAGAACTGAGTGGGGAAGGGGAGGGGAATTACCACCTTGCAAGGCCAAGCACTGGCGCTCGGGCATGAGGACAGACAGGGGCATGCCTCTACATCGCGTACCTGCATTCAGTATTTGGCCCATAAAAGTGGCCACCATTTCTGTGTCCCTGTGGAAGAGGATGAGGAGTTATTCTGCTCTGGCTGTCGCACAGCAGAGGCCACCCAGGTGTTACACCGCATGCTACCTGCTCCAAACCATGGGTCGGTGCATCACCTCATGGTATATCCGAGAGCGGCAAGGTGGTACAGTCCAAGGTATGGCGCGACACACATGGCTGCCAGGAGTTGACCCAGGCGATCGTGATGTGCATATTTAGCGCCGCCAATGCACATGTCCTTCATGGCTTCACGGTTGGGGGAAGGACGCCAGTGCTATTTGGTGTCCAGAGAATGGATGTCCAAGTGCGATCACAGGATTTTTATGTAACAAATGATTTCCCAGAGGTTGAAAAGGATGAAAACTTCAGGCATTGCAGGCATTGGTGAATAGTTGCTGCCAACTTGCGAAACCTTCCGGCTCGGAACTTCTGCCAGATCTCTCCAATTACTGATGGGGGGGAGCCACGTGGGCGCGAGGGGCACCCGGGAAAGCACGGAATACCATTACCCCCCCTACCGGGCTTGCACCGGTTGCTAGCAGCTTATTCCCGCGGACGGGATATCACTGGCGCAGTTGGTTGCCTCTAATGGCGAACCGGGGGGGTGGGGGGTGGGGGAAAGGAAGGGGAAGCAGGGGGTCCACCAAAAGCTGTGGGACGGGCCTCCCGGGCAAAAAGGCACTTGGTCAGCATCAGCATGTTGGCCGCTCCGTTCACGTCGCGGTTGACAACGTTGACCTTGCAGGCCTTGTTGACGCACCGCTTAGTGTCCCACACGTCCACCAGCTTCTCCTCGCCATCGCAGACCCGCACGTACTGGTGGGCGTGCAGGGTGGTGTGACAGGCGCAACACAGTTTGGAAGTCCTGTGCTCATCGACCACCACCACCCTGCACACCCGCCGCAGGCGCCGCAAGAAGCGTATCCAGGGCCCAGGCGAAGTCCCCCGCATGATGCCCCCCCGGTCCTGGGCCGACCAGTTGCCCACGCCGACGATGGTAGTCATGCCGGGGGGGGCGCGGAAGTGCTCCGCCGGCCGGTTGATGGCCCGCTCCCTGGCGACGTAGGCCTGGTGGCACAGCTTTCGAAACGGCTTCCCGTGCATGTGCCAGGCCAGGCCCCGTCGCAGGCTGGGGCCGATCCACACCGCCCGCGACAGCAGAACCTCGGTGCTGGCTGTCTTGTGGGTCGGGCACCTGCGGGAAGAGGGGGGGTGGGGTTGAGCAAGAGGGTTGGTACAGTTGGAGCGATGCGGGGTGTCGTGACACAGTGCCCGCCCCTGTGGGGCTGCCACTTCGCAATGGTCTTCTCCCGCCGCTTAGACCCCGACATGGCGTGGAACTCCTTGGAGGAGCAGGATGTCACGTTGGCGTGTTCTTCGATAGCCTCGGTAAACATCTTGGTCCGCCCCGGGTCGATGCCGACGTACTGGTGTATCTTGGCATCTTCTGGAGGGGGGTCCCGCCTGCAGAGGCGTGTATAGGGGGGTGGGGTGGGGTGAGTTGTGTTGTTGGAGCGAGGCAAGTGTGGGTGGTTGGTGGGGGAATAAGTGGGTGGGAAAGGTGGGTGCACCTCGCTGCTGGTATACAGCACATCCACAGTCACTCCCAGGAACAGAGCAGCCAACACTCCCGCACCACTTGCAAGCGTCCCAGGCAATCACTGCAGCATGTCGACAAGCCAGGAGAACTATCCCTATCAGCACACACCCTAGGAGTCCATGGTGCAGACCACTCACCGGTAGTGCTCGTCGGCAATTCCCCTGCCCTTTGGGGCGCCCAAGGGCGCCCGGCTGCGGTCGCGTTTGCCGCTGGTCTTTGGGGTGTCGGGGGGGCGGGGAGGGGGGACGCCGGACCGGGGAGGCCCTCTCTGCCGCCGCAGGGTGACGGAGACGCTGTACCCGTTTTTGTGCCAGTGCCCGGCCAAGTACCAGCCACAGCCCTCAAAGCGGCGAAAGTTGAACAGGACGGTGAAGAATGCCCACCCGACGTGCACAAACCAGTCCGTTTTCTTTTTCCTCTCTGTCGCCCATCTTCTTCTCCTCCTCCCTCTCGTCCGTCTTCTTCTTCCCCCGCTTCCCCTTTGCGTCCACCTGATACTCCTCCGCCTTTCTACGGAGGCAGGCCTCTGGATGGCCACCCTGCTGCGAAGGCCCAAGCCAGTGCATCCCCCACGAAGGACAAGCAGTGCAGGTAGGGGGCTGCAGTCCCGAGCAGCAGCTGCGGAGCTCTGGCTCGGAGTGGAGAACCTGCTCATCACATGTCTTCTTGCAGCTGTGTGCTGGGGACGCGTGTATTTGGGCTACCACTCCCCTGCCCAAGTCTTGGCAGGAGCTGTGGGTGGGGTCATGATGGCTCTAGGCTGGCAGGCGTTCTTCGCGCGGCATGTTCAAGCAGGGCTCCTTGCAATCTTGCCAGAGTGGCTTGGCTTTATTCGGGGCGGCTGCGCAATGTCACACGCCAATTCCTATCCCTTTCGAGATGCGAAGGCACTATCTGCTTTGTTCAGAGAACATCCCATCGCAGGTTTAGCAAGCGATCCCCCGCGTCATCACCCTCACCGGGTTCCAAGGCTTTCCATAGCTCGGTCTCCAGCCTATGCTCGGAGGAGGGCGGGCCACGTCGTGACTGCCGTGCTGACATAAGAAGCTAACGTGGCCACATTACGCGGTACGTCTGGGGAAGCTCTGTCTCAGTGGAGACTCCCCCTGGAGCTGTGCAGTTCCCTTTCCCAGGAAAAGTGTTTGCCAGTCTGCTGCCATGATGACACCTAATTTACTAAGGTTGAGGGGCTCCGCTCCTGTGATCAATACGTATTCGTACTGTCTGAGCTTAGGATTTCGCTTTGATGGGGAGACTGACGACAACTTGTATCGTCCCTGCCGGCATGCCACTCACCATACTAAGGTTCTCCACATTTCCACCCTCCATTGTCAGGTACCCAAAAGATTGCTGAAGCCAAGCTTCCATCTCTGTTGTGTTTTCTCTGGTCCAAGTGCAGAGTCACATGTGTGCTGTAGCAAGGCGTGAAGGGATGATACCAAGGAAGCACATGAGCATGGGTGGGCATCAGCAACCTATTTGCCAACTGAAGCTGTCTCCTTGCGAGGCTTCGTTGCAGCTGCACCTTTCACAGCAGCTTTGTCCTTCTTCTGCTTCTGTGGGGCAGGTGCAGATGCCGGCGCGCAGGGCTCCTCCTTCACTGCAGGAATGTTGTCCTCTGGGACTGCGTCGGAGGTGTCCCCTGCCTTGCGTTTGCGGGTTGGTATGACGGCCTCAAACGCAGCCCGCCAGTCTCCCAGCTCCTGCTGCCGAATCATGATTTCGACTACGTGGTTTGTGCACATGACCGAGGAGGAACTGAGGGCTACATAGTCGCCAATGGGGAGCTTTGCTGTGGCAATTCCCTGCATTGAAATTTCAGAGCATGGCGTTGAGCTGTTTGTGAATGCCATCTTTGGCAGCCTGTTGAGGGGGAAGAGAACAGAGGAGAGCAGCATTCCCCAACTCGCTAACCCACGAACAAGGGTTGAGTGCATCAAGCTCAACCCGCCTGCCCCGGATAGACGCTGACCTCTTCCTCGGCCTTTCCGGCACACAGGTTCTTGTACCGGTTCCGATCCACGATTCCTCCAACAATGTAGATCTTGGAGGGGTCCAGCTGCAGCAAAGGACAATGCAGTCTTGTCGTTGGGTTGGTCGGTGAAATGTATCACTCATCAGTTTCGTTTAGTCAACAAGAAAGAACAATCACCGACCCACGCATCATCCCATCGACCAGTCCCGGCAAAGGACCCTTTCCACCAAGCCTCCAGACAGCCACCCACTCAGGGGCTGATGGTTGTGCACTCCTTGCATGCACGCTGGCACGCCTGCCCCCCTGCCCCCACAAGATTTCCAGGACGCCCATGCCTGCCTACCTCTTGGATCTCATTTTCAGAATCGGCCGTCAAGTACACCAGCTGCTCCGTCTCCTCCTTGAAATGAACAAGGTAGGTGGCTTCGGATTTTGTAGCAATCCAATTGTCAAAGCCAGAGCACTGCTTGTTGATGCACTCCTTCATACGTCCCTGTGCAGGTGGACCAGAGGAAGTATCTGAGGAGTCCAGCACATGGCCCCACGCACCGGCCCTGAAGAAATTGACAGGCGTCAGTCAAGATGTGCACTGCCCTGGCAACCCACTGCACATCCTCCATGCACCCACCTGCACCCCCGTGAAGATCAGGTGCATGGGTTTGCTGGACCGGGCGTTGGCCGAGTAGCAGTAGGCGAGCTGCTGGCACAGCGACTTGAGCTCAGCGTCGGTCATCTTATCCTCAAATGACAGGTCCACAATCAGCCGCTGCCCCTTCACCAGGGCCTGCATGCATGCGTGGGTGCTCGTGGCCGTGGATGTGGACGCAGGACAGGGTTGGGTGTTCACCCTGAGGGTAGCAGCGCTGAGTAATGGCTGACATGAGCCATGCAACTCAGGCTCACACTGCACCTGCCATGCCAAACGTGAGCAAGGGGTGCCCCAGCAACACACGTGCATGTCTCACCTGTTCCAGGCGCGCCTTCTTCTCTTGGGTGGTCTGCTTTCGAGCCCCCACGCGAACCGCCTTCTCCTCCCTCCACTTCAGCTTCTCTTCTTCACTCATCCCCGCCAATCGAGCGAGGGCCTGTGGTTTTGTTTGTTTGGTGGACACATGGGCTTGTTATTGCATGGTGCTGGGGTCCCTGCCCACAGGCTCCCCCAGCGCACTCGCCTACCTCCGCACGGCGCTCCTCCTGCAGCTTCTGACGTTCGGCTTTCTCCCGCTCCCTCTTCTCCTTCTTTTTGTCCTGATACCTGCTCATAGGATTGTGGAGAGTCAGAGTGCACTGCAATGCAGGATGTAACATGTGTACAGCAGCTGCAAGCTGCACCCAACTCACTTGACAGCCTTCAGCAGCTTTTTCTGCTGGTTTTTAGAGAGTGGCACGGGGCCAGCAGCCGCCGGGGTATCCGCCTGAGCCTGCTGGACCTTCACTTTTTCTGAAGTCATTTAAGGGTCCTAAATAGTTATTTGAGTATTGCAAGCAGCCTAGGATGGCAATGCTACCATGCCTTTCTGGTGGTGTTCCGTAGTGCCAGCGGCGATGCTGCTGGTGAAGTCGACGGATCAGAATACAATGTATCCAAGCCTTGGCATAATTCGCTTATCAAGGCGCGGAGTATTGCATCGGAACGGGCATGAAGCGGAGCAGACGTGCGTGTATGTCCAGTTCCGCGCGCGCGTTGTCGCGAGGACCAAGCGGCTGTGGCAAAACCCTATCTGAACATACCAGGGTCCTTCACTGATGCATTGCATCCTGTGTTGAAAGCGTTAGCAGCCAGAACTTCACCAGGGACTCTGGCAATGGGGACAGGTCGACTTGCCACTGCTCCTGAACCACTTGTACAAGCAGGCGCCGTGGAAGCGCTTGCGGCATGTCTGACAGGCCAGGCGTGGCAGCTGGCCAGAGGCCGGGTGAAGGATGGAGTAGCAGATGAGGCACTCCTCCTGGCCTGCATTTTTGTGGTGGAGGCGGAGCAGCGTTCACATCGCTTTGCCAAGCTTGCCCATGCGCGACCACGACAGTCTTGGGTGCAACTGCACAGGTGGTGTGGTCAACGAGCACACATACCTCCAGCCGTCCAATGCTGCCCTCCACATCCGCTCAAAACTACCACAGGAAACCCCCTGCCCACCTTCGAACTCGCGCTCCAGGTTCTTCTGCCACAGTGCCACGGCCTGAGACACCGTCCCGCTCTGCGCGCGGAGGAAGGCCGTGACGGAGAGGAGCCACTTGCGCAGACGCGTCTCGCTCACGCCCACCTGGGAGGGGTAGCGAAATTTCTGGTCAGCCCGCATACATAATGTGCCATCGAGGGGCACGATGTTGCATTCGTTTTAGCCCGCATATGCCAGAAGTATGCTCTGCCCTGCCTGGTGGGACAGGAACAATTAAGTCTGCTCCACCCCCCCTTTTTCCCTTCCTCCAAAGCCCTCCCCACCTTTTTCTGGCAGGACACCTCTGGCGGCAGCAAGGGCAGGGCGGCAGGGAGTCTGATCAGCAGCTCCATGCTGTGCCCCTCCTCCACCTCCATCACTGTATCAAGTAGAAGGGAAGAAGGCGATGAGGAAGGGGAAGCGGCACGCCGTTCCGCCAATAGACCAGCCATGGGCTAGACACGCCATGGGAGCTGCCGACGGGGACACCGGGCCACCACCCACCTCCCAAACACCACCCACCTGCCCAGGCCTGGCGTGCGGGGGCGTTGCAGCGCACGGTGAACTTGCCGCTGCTGGTACTCCTCAGCCCCTCCAGCGCCTCGAACTCCCGGGCCAGCAAAGGCCCGCTCACGGCCTGCGCCGTGAAGGCCTCCACCGCGCCACTCTTCCCACGGTCGCTCAGCATGACAAACCACTGCCGGGCGCAGGCGGGCAGCGTGTGCAACATGCCGGCGTACACCGCGTACGCCAGCTGGGAGTCCTGGACGGCTGTTGGATTGAGGTCGGGCCCGGCTCCTGGCGCTGCCGGCGGCGAGTCCCCTCCGGCAACATTCAGGACCTCGGGAGCTCTGGCCTCCAGCGCGGCCAGCAGCTGCTCCGCCACGGTGCCGGCGCGCGGCGCTGGGCCCGGGCCGCGCCGCTGGGCCCCCCGCCGCGCCGCTCGTCCAGGGGCAGGCCCGGGAGCAGCGCGTCGAAGGCCGCGCCGGTCGCGGCGGGCAGGCCGTGCAGGGAGGCGCGCCAGGCGGAGCCTGCCAGGGTCAGAGGGGCCACAGGCGTCAAGGTGCCCGGCGAGCAGCGCCCAGGCGGGGAGGAAGGCGGGCGAGGCCGGGCTGCCCAGCAGGGCGGTGGCCAGCGAGAGCGGCAGGCCGAGCTGCGAGGGGTTGTGCGGGGGGTTTGGGGGTGAATGTGGGGTTTGTGCGGGGGATTGAGTGCCGTGGTAGGCAGAGGGTGACGGCGCAGGCGCGGTGTCTGGTGCCCCGTGCCGTGGACATGTCGACATGCGTCCACCCAGTGTGCCTGTGCACCCGGCTCAATAAAAGGCCCAGCTCCCACACCAAAACACACCACTACCCAGCGCACCTCCACCAGCCGCAGCGAGCCGTCCTGGCCGGCTGGGACCCCTCCGTACTCCTCCTCGTCCTCCTCCTCGTCCTCCTCGCCGCGCAGCGAACACAGCATGGCCGGGAAGCGGAGCAGCAGCTGCATGGCCAGCCGGGCCAGCGGCTCGGGTGCGGCCCGCCCGGTAGCCCTCGGCAGCGCCAGCGCCAGCAGGCAGTCCACCGTGCCGAGGCCCACGGCCTCCGCGGCCGCGTCGGCCGCGCGCTGCGCGCGCTCCGTGGCCCCCTCCTCGGCAAGACCCGCCAGCGTGAGGGCGCGCAGCAGGGCCAGGGCTTCACGACTGGGACCCGCATCCGTCCTGCTCAGGATGGCCTCCTCGGCGCCAGGCATGAGAGCCCACGCTGCGCCCAGCAGCGTGCCCAGTCGCACGGCCTGCTCCAGGGCGGGCGCAGCTCCCGGCACATCGAATCCCACGACCTCGCATAGCGCCGCGGCCTGCAGGAGCGGGCCGGCGCGGGCGCCCAGGGTGTGCGCCACGGCCGCCGCGGTCTGCTCCCGGTCGGCCTCGACGGCCGCCAGCGCACGCGCAACGCGCGCGCTGCGGCGCGCCGGCGCCTCCGACTCCAGCACCGCGATGAACTGCAGCGCGGGGGCCGGGTCGCGCCGCGTGAACATGCCCGAGGAGTCTGCGGCGTCGCAGGCCGCCGAGGCCAGGCAGGCGGCCGAGTCAGCGAGGCGCGCGGCCAGCTCGTCGCCCTCCCGCACCAGTGCTGTGCGGCTGGCGCGGCGAGCCAGCGCCCAGGCCTCAGATGCAGGGGGGCAGTGCGCCAGCACCGCCAGATCCAGGCTCGGGTGGGTCAAGCTGGAAGAGTCGCTGCTGCTCGGCACGGGAGGGCTTCCTGAGCTCTGGCCCTCGGGCCCAGGGGCCCTCTCCAGACCCGCCATCAGTTTGCAGTACATCCCGGCCAGCGCCTCCGCTTCGGGCTCTGTGACGAGCGGCCAGACGGCCTGCACGGAACGTTTGAGCACCCGCCCGGCAGAGCGCAACGGGGGCGGGGGGACGGTGGCCTGCGCGCCAGACTCGGGGCGCGGTGCCAGCCTGTGGCGTTCCGTCAGCCGGAACCTGCCGTGCAGCAGGATGCCGTAGGAGGGCGGATCCGCCGACAGATCCACTGAGTCCACCTGGACGGAGGGCTCCAGGAGGGGGGAATGAAGTGAGAATGCTGACACGTGTGCTGGGTCGGAGCCTTTGAGCATGCATGTCTCTCACGCCGGGCGACCATGACCCAAGCTCATTGTGGACCTTTTCCCGGCACGCTCCAGACCTATCAGACAGCCCAACCCTCGCCAGAAACCTCAGGCCCTCAGGCGCTGGCTCCAAACTCCACTCCCCCCTTTCACACCTGCGCCGGCGCCCAGTCGCCCTGCGGGAGCCAGTACCAGACGGCGTCGCCCTTGCCCAGCCGCGGCAGGGCATCCTGGCCAGCGGCCCCTGGGCTCTTGCCATGGCGCTCGAGCAGCGTGGAGCACACCTCCCCCACGCCGGGCCGCGGGCAGCATGCCACCGCGCCGTCCAGCCACATGCGAGCGTTGGCCGCTGGCCCTGCGTCCGCAGCCCTCTGTAGGCAGTGCAGCGTGAGGTCCGGCAGGCGGGCCACCACGCACAGCTGCGGCGCGTGACGCAGGACCCCGCCCAGCCTCCGCGCCGCCGCAAACGCCCGCTCGGAGGCCGGCCCAGCGATCGCTGCGATGCCGCCGGGGCCCACTTCGCATGTGGATGCACCATCTTCCAGCAGGCCTGTGGCCTCGCCGGCCAGAAGGCTGGCAGCCTCCTGAGCCGCAGAGCCGCTGGCCGCGGCGCTGTCTGTCGGCAGGCACCGCGCCGCCTCCCGTGCCAGGGCATCCAGGATGCGGGAGGCGGCCTCCTCGTCGTCGGCTCCCATAGCCAGGCTGTAAGCGGCTGTCAGCAGCTGCCCTGGGGCACGGGCGCCGGCCTGCAGGAGGCTGGCCCCGGTCAGTCCCCACTCTGGGTTCCGAGCCACATGATACAGTGCCTCTGCTGCACAAGAGGCGAGACTCGAGTCTTGCGGGACGTCCTGCGCCGCCGTCAACCCGACCAGCAAAACGGCGCGGCTCTCGAGTCTTCCCAGAGGGGTGTCCGTGCCAACTCCCTGGGTCACTCCTCGTGCAAACGCGTCGGTCCATGTGTCGCTCGGCCTGGGGGCCGCACGGAGGACAGCCGTCGCCAGGGCAACCAGCAGGCGACAGCTGTCTGTGGGACCGCAAACCCTGCGCCGCGCCTGCACCGCCTGCACCGCCTGCGAGCCCAGGGTCCCGAAGTGGGCCTGCAGAGACACAGGGAGCTCCCGCGCTGCCTCTTCCCATATTTGAGCGGCAGGTGAGGTTGTTGGAGAGGGCAGCGCCAGCAGCGACGACAGCAATCGGTCACTACAGCATGGCAGTGGGCGGGGAATGGGTGGAGAACTTGGGAAGATGGTCTTGTGGCATGTTATTCAAGGCGAAGGGCAGCCGGCACCAAGAAGCAAAGGTGTATTCGATACACATGCAACGTGCTATCCTGCATATGGGCGCCCCCGCGAGCCCGCTCACCTTTCACCAAGCCCATCAACAGATGGGGTGGGAGGGCTGTCAGCTGTGTTCCCAGCCTCAGAGCCGGTCGCATCATGCCCAACATCGAATGCGGCGTCCGCTGCTGCCTCCAAGATGTTCAGGGCACACTTCAGGGTGAGCTCTGACCCGCCCGCCGCCAGGCTCCTCAGCATGCCAGAGACAGCCTCCACGAGCGCGCCACTGCGCGACATGAGCTCAGGGGCGCCGTGCAGGAGCTTGAGGATCACGTGCGCAGCGGAGGTCGGCGACAGCATGGCATGGCCGCCAGACGAGCCGCTCGCCGCGGCGTCGGCGGCCCTGCCGTCTGCATGGAAGCCCAGCAGCGCCAGGAGCACGGGCGCGGTGGAGCCGTCCACCAGGGCGTCCAGCTCGGCGCCCTCCGGGAGCCTGACGGGGCGAATGGCATGCAGGTCCAGCAGGACGGCAGGCAGCGCGGCGGAGGCATCCCGAAGCAGCGCCTGCGCGGTGGAAAGCACGGAGCCGTCCCCGGCATCGGCAAGGGCTCGCGCGAGCATGGTGCAGAGCTGCTGGGTCTCGCCCGCTCCGGCACCCATTTCGCACAGCTGCCTGCAGGGGATGACACGCGGCGATCCATGGGCTGGCCGGTCATTCTCACATGGAAGACGCCCAGCTCCCTCCCAGCTCAGCAACGCTTCGGGCACGCTCAGAGGCTGAGCACGTTGTTATTACAAGCCATGTCTCACTCGTCCCCCACACCGTGTGCCAACACGTTGCACATATACGCCCAGGCACCAATGACCCCCCCACGCACCGCGTCAGGGCCTCCAGGACCCGAGACTTCAGGGCGCCAGACGCACCGGCCCCCTGGCCCTCCCTCCCCTCCTCGCCGCCGCTGTCTCTCTGGTGCGCCAGAAGCGCAGCGGCGAGCTGGGTGGCGTGCGGGTCGCCGTCCAGGCCTGCATCGACCAGCTCGAGGAGCAGGGGCCCCGCCAGCCTTTCCGCATGGGTCGTTTTGGGAGCATATTGGCCCAGCACGTCCACTGCATGCAAGAGGCCTGGCCAGGTTGCAGGGGCCACGTCGGCGCTGTCACTCGAAGAGGCGTCACCCTCGCGAGGCTGGGCCAAGACATCCGCAGCCGCTGCCGGAGCAGCGGCTTGAATCCGGACGCTGCCCAGCAGCTGCTTCAGCGCCGCGCACAGGTGCCGGCTGGTGAGCTGCAGAACGGCGTCGAGGGAGGGACCCTGGAGGGCAGCGATGAGCTGGCCCACCAGCCTCGCGGCGCAGTCGGCCGCGGGACCGCTGCCCGTTGCAGCGGGCAGGATGGTCGCCTGCAGGAGGGTGCCCAGCCCAGCGTCTGCCAGCTCCCGGCTCCAGGTGTGGGCCCCCCGCCCCTCGACGACGGCATCCCCGGCGAGGCTCAGGCTCCTGGCAGCGCACTCACAGAAGGCCGCCCGCCCGGCCTCGGTGCCGTTGGTCGAGGCGCTGCAGGTGGCTGCCATCCCCTGCCACAGGCAGCGCAGGAGCTGCGACCACATCGCCATCGCCTTCGTGCCCTGCGCAGGCACGGCGAGGGTGGAGGGGTCGGCCAAAAGCCGGGGTAGGGACAACTTGGCAGGTGCTTGAGCAAACTGCCCACGCTGGAGTGCCATCCCGTGCCCGACCTCTGGAGCGAGCAGGAGCATGAGGGGCAGCAGGGCCGGGTAGGAGGCGTTGCCCGAGCCGTAGAAAGCGTGGCGCACGGAGGACCACAGCACCGGAAGCACGCGTTTGGGCACGTCGACGGCGCGCGGGATGCCGGGGTAGGCTCGGAGCATGACCAGTAGGCCGGCCCACATGTCTGTGTGGCAGTCAGGGCTCTTCTCTCGCAGCATGCCCAGCACCTGGGGCGCGATGCCAAGCGCCTGGTCCTGCGGCAGGGGCCGTCGGTGGTCATGTGTTGGTGGGCATGCCGGCACATGGAATGTGCCGTTGGTCCAGGGAGGCGGGTTGCATGCGAGAGGACAAACACTGAAAACAAGTTACCAGGAGCCAGGGTATGAGCCTGTGGTCTAGGCCGGTGCGATGACGCTGGCATATGAGGTCCCACCACACAGGGAGAGGCTCGGATGCATGCCCTCGCGCACCTCCGAGAGCAGCTTCCTCCGCCCGACCTCGGCCATGAGGCGGTAGGCGGCCCGCCGGAGGGCGGGGGAGGCATGCGTCATCACTGCCTTCAGGAAGACAGGTGACACGAGGAGGCGCTGTACATCAGGCAGCGCCCCTGCATCGGCGCAGCCGGCCAGCTCGGCGAGCAGGCCGCAGCAACCCAGAAGCGCCTGGGCCTGCCGGTCGCTCAACTCCTCCTTGGTCTCCGTCTTGGCGTCACCCAGGGCCTCGGGGCTGGCCGCCATTAGGCGCGACAGGTACCTCGTGACCTGCGGGGGGACGGGGTGGTGATGGGGTTGGTTTGGGGTAATGTGCTGGGAGGTTTGCAATCACAATGAACCTCGCTCCGAGCGCAGACCCCTCATCTGCGTGTGCTGGAAGAAGTCTCTCCGACCCCTCCCTGCCCGTTTCCAGAATCCCAGGCACAAGTCATTCCGAGTCCATGTTACACAACCAGATCGGATGAAAGACCCAGGGCACGTCACGTACCTGACGCCAGCAGTGCTGGATGGCCATGTCACGCTTGGGCCCCGGGAACGTCGCGGAGAGGGTCTCCCGCGCGGCCCGCGCCACCTCCAGCTTCTCGTCGGACTGGGAGAGGAGCCAGGGCCCCATGATGTTGCCCAGCTGGGGTGCGAGCCGCCGGCCGGCTGCGCCGGCCATGGCGCCCATCACACGCACGCACTCCAGCCGCACAGATCGGTTGGCGTCCAGGACCAGGCGTGGGACCACAAAGGACCAGTAGGGGAGGATGAGCACGGCCTGATCGGGCGGCCCATCCGCGATGCACCTCCCGAGGGCCTGGAGCAGGGTTTGGGGGTGGCACGCGTCTCAGGTGGCCATGGCGAGTCTCAGGTGGTGCCAGGGATGGGCAGTGCTGCGGCTACATCGAGTGTGGCTTTGCCAAACTGGACAGGAATCCACGACACCGCCCCTGCCACGTCCGCCGCCCTCTCTCACCTGCAGCGCCTTGATCTTGGTGGTCCCATCCCGTTTTGTGAGCCTCTGCAGGTGCTGGCTGACTTCACCAGGCAGCTCACTCGGAATGGTGGCCGTGGGAGCCTGGTCAGCAGGCTCAGACTGGTCACTTTGGGACGCACTCAGCTGCTGCACATACCTGGCGCCGAATGTGAACGCCATCTGCTACACTGTGGCGACAACTCGGGGTCAGGAGCCTCGTGAGCCGCACAGCCGATGGTAAACCTTCACCGACGACATCGCTTCGTCAAGCACATAATGATGTAGGAGCAAAAGCAATAAGAGGCCTTGTAAACCTGTGTTCGAGCCCCATGAGGCATGGGAGCAACACCCAGGCGCTGTGAGGGGAACACCTCGCGCCTGCATGCTGCGCGCGCCCGGAGACCCGGTCGCTCGAGAGCAGCAGGGCGCTAGCCCCGACTAGGGCTACTTCCATGCATCCTGCCGTCGCAAACCCTGTCTCGAAAAGCCGGACCAGGCGCGCAGGTAGCCACCCCTCGCGATCGGATTTATCGCATCGGACATAGCTCGAATGGCTTCTTCGAACAAGGCATCCGGTGGCAGGACTCTCACGATTCCGGTGAGTGGAGGACCCCTCAGATCTGCCGCTTTTTGTTCCGCTCAACCAGCATCGACCTTGTCAGATTACATCTTGTGATTTGGTGTCATACATCATGCTCACAGGATAACAGCCAGGAGACGCTGAGGGTCCTGGACGTTCGCCCTTCCTTCAGCTTTGGTACGCCCCGATGCGTGCAGGGCAGTAAGCCTGAGATCACCTGGGTAGCATGCACGGGAGTCTCATGGCAGAGTGTTCACCCCAATGGTCCCTCCCCTGAAGGTGGCAGTGTGGGCGACGAGGTCATCACCTGCCCTACTCTTCGCTCCAAGCTCCAAGCCAGGGAGAGCCCCTTCCTGCGGGGCAACTACCATGGAGGCGGGTTCACCTCCGACAACGACCGGGTCTTGCTCCAGTCTGTCTACTTTGCAGACCGGCACTCGGCTGGCAACAGGAGCCAGGATCGGCTGGAGGCGCTGAGTGTGCAGATGAAGAAGGCCTCCTTCAAGAATGCCGCCATTGACGATGCCACCAGCGACCTGTGAGTCCCGTCCAGGGATGGGGGTGAATGTCAAATTCTGGTTCTGTGGGGCATGGGCCTGCGTGCCAGATGCCGTCCAGGCTTCTCGTACATGTTCTGGGGGGGCGACGCACGTTGCCCAGCCGACGGTCCTGCGGGCAAGGCAGTGGCGCCTTTGGGGTCTCTGCGCTTCCTCGGCCTCGCAGGCTCAAAATGTCCTCCCAATGCAGCTAGCCTGCAGCCAGAAGACTCATCATTACTACTCCTCCGCTTGATGCCCATCCCATGCCATTCCCCTCCGATAGTCTGCTGTCCGTACCCAAGTATGCCATCCGGGCGGGGGCGCGCAAGCGCATCTACTTTGACCCCAAGGAGACCCGCATGGCCATTGTCACCGCCGGCGCCATCTGCCCCGGCCAGAATGACATCATCCGCGCCATCGTCACCAAGGTGCGTCTGCTCTGTGTGGGAGGGGGGCTGGGCCTGACAGGGCGATTATTCTTCATGGCTGGCTGCCCCGGTGGAGCAAGGTCAACTGGACACCGGGTCCCCTCGTCAGCACTCCCCACCCTGACCTTCACAGCGACCACTCGTCGCTCGCTCCCCCTTCCACAACCCCCTCTCAAGCGAAAGAGCCGACGCACCTTCTCCCGGCGCAGGCCTTTGACTACGGCGTGCCCGAGGGTCACATCCTGGGCATTCGCAATGGCTTCCGCGGCTTCACCAATCGCACCCGCCGCCCCATGGTGCTGACCCACTCGATGGTCAAGGATTGCCACCTGGAGGGCGGCACGCTGCTGGGCACCTCCAACGACCCCGCTGACATCCGGGAGATCATAAAGCGCCTGGACCTGTGGAAGATCGACCAGCTGTTCGTCATCGGCGGCACGGGCGGCAACGCGGCGGCCTACGCCATCCAGCGCGAGTGCGAGCGCTGCAACGTGCCCACCGCGGTGGTGGGCGTGCCCAAGTCCATCGACAACGACATGCTGCTCTTCGACAAGTGCTTTGGCTTCGACACCGCGGTGGAGGGCGCGCAGGCCGCGCTGATGGCCGCCAAGGTGGAGGCGGCCTCGGGCTACCGCGGCATCGGCATCGTGAAGCTGATGGGGCGGCGCTCCGGGTTCATCGCCGTGCAGGCCTCGCTGGCCTCGGGCGTGGTGGACGCGGTGCTCATCCCTGAGGTCCCCTTCCGCCTGGAGGGGGAGAAGGGGCTGCTGGCGTACGTCGAGAAGATCATGGCGCGCGACGGGCACGCCGTCATCTGCGTGGCGGAGGCCGCTGCCCAGGACCTGATGCACGGCGAGGGGCCGCGGCGGCTGGATGCCGCGGGGAACCCCGTGCTGTCGGACGTGGGGCCCTGGCTGAAGGCCAAGTTCAAGGCCCACTTCCAGGACGCGGACATCAAGTACATCGACCCCTCCTGCCTCATCCGCTCCATCCCCGCCTCCTCCCAGGACAGGATATACTGCCGCATGCTGGGCCACGGCGCCGTGCACGCCGCCTTCGCGGGGTACACGGGCGTGACCGTGGGTCTCATCAACACCCACTACTGCTACATCCCCATCCCCATGGTCATCCAGGTGGGGCCGGTGTGGGGGGGATGGGAGGGCCGGGCACAGTGTCGCTGGACCCTTTGGAAGGCATTGCATGTTCCTCCCCCAAGACATGAACTTCCTCCTCACGCCAGCCGTGCCTCGCACACGATGCTCCCACATTCCCTCCTACCCACACAGGCGCCACGCACGGTTGACCCGCATGGCGAGCTCTGGGCGCGCCTGCGCTCAGCCATCGGCCAGCCATCGTTTGTGGACGACGAGGATGAGGAGTTCTGCCCCGAGTAAGCATGGAGTCCTTCACCCCACACCCCCGCACTCGGGACACGAAGGGCAGGACCACATCCCTCCGACTCTTGGCGACACCCTCGGCGGGTCCGAGCGACCTCGTCGCACACTTCCCTCACTATAGAAAATTTGTTGCATTCCCCCCTTCTTCCCCTGGCATGTCTGTGCAAGCCGCCCGCCTGCATGATTGTTGGTGTGTGTACGTTCCAACAGATATGCCAGATTGCATGAGGGTCCTCGGGAGGGAGCGCCCAGGCCAGGGAGGCCTCGGGACTCCAGCTGCATCGCCGCTCGGGCCGGAGCCATGGCTGCGCTGGGGGCTGGTCACCCGAGGCAGCCCCTGGCCTGCAGTCGGAGGGCCACGCCCTCGCCTTCACACCGGCGGAGCGGCGGCCTCCTTGACCCGCCGGACCAGCAGGCGGAGGTCCTGCAGCCGCCGGGCGGGGGCCAGGCTGTCGCCGGCCATCTGCTCAAGCTGCAGGAGCAGGGGCTCCAAGGTGCGCCCCAGCTGCTCCAGCCCGGGGTCGTTCCCCGCGGCCCGCCCGCGCAGCTGGAAGAGCAGCACGCCCAGCAGATGCTCGACGAGGAAGGTCAGGCGGTGCAGCCTGCCCAGCGTGCCCAGCGTGGACCCCACCTCCGCCAGCGACATGGCGCCGTCCCTGTCGGCTGGCGCGGCGGAGGTCAGCGCATCGGGGATGTCCCCGGTCACCGCCTGCGGTTTGGTGTTGGGTGGAGTGATTGCATGGGTGGAAGGAGTGAGGCCCACGAGCTACGGAGGCTGGCTCAGTGGGGGTGCCGCTCTGTGTACGGCACAGAACTGCCGCACGCTGCGACGGTTGTCATGCCCCCTCATCCTCTGGTCGTACCGCCACGGCTTCATACCATCGCATGCAGGCACCTCGACCTCCCGCCCACTCAACAGGGGGCCCCCAACATCCTCGAGTCACCTGGAGCAGGGCGTCCTTGATCAGCACCAGGGTGGGCCCGCCCGCCGGCCCGTCGGGCCCCGGCCGCACCGGCAGCCGCACCACCGGCTGCGCCCCCGGCCCCGCTGCGGCGTGGAGGTACTGCACCAGCGCGCAGCGCAGCGCCAGGATCCTGCGCGCGGCAAGGGAGTTGTGAGGGTGGTTGATCACGAGAGGGCCTGCAAGCGGCACGGCGGGCCTGGGTGCAGGCGCTGGCGCCATTGCCCCTTTGCTAGGTTTTCTCCTCCCTTTTCACCCTGCCCCCCAAAACAACACACACACACACACGCACACACGAGATACCCAACCTGTACCTGTCTGCCAGGGCGGCGGCCTCGTCAGCGCCGTCGCCCGACTCGCGCAGGGCCCGGAGCCGCGCCACGGCCAGGCTGTCGCTGGCCTCGTCGGTGCAGAGGAAGCGGTACAGCATGCGGTACACCGCCCCCTGCAGCGCGGGGTCCTCGGCCAGCAGGCCCGGCACCCAGCCGGCCAGGCCCACCACCAGCGCGGCCTGCTCCAGCTCGCGGGCTCCCACACCGCGCCGGCCCCCGTCCCGCCCCGCATCGAGCGCCACCCTGGTCAGCACGGCGGCGCGCGCGCGGAGGAAGACGAGGAGCGCGCCGCGCGCGGCGGGGCTCTGCGGCAGGCTCGTGTCCACCGCCAGCGCCAGGCGCAGCGCGGGGGCCAGCAGCCCGTGCAGCCGCGCATGCAGCGGGTCTGTGGGGTGGTTTGGAATTTTGGAGGAGAGACGGTGCGGAATGATGAAGCCAGGAGACTCAGAAGGGCTGCGAGCTATGTGGATTGGGGAGTGGCCGTGCCGATGCGCCCGCCCCGGCACGGCGCAAGCGTCGGATGCCCAGCCATGCGCCCCCCCCCCCTTCCCAACTCCACCAACTACGGCCCACCTGCCAGGGTCTCGGGGTGCGTGGCCAAGGCCTCGCAGCGCGCCAGGCTGGGTAGGAGCTGGGCCTCCAGGAGGCGCTCCGCGTTGGCGGCGTGCGCCTCCCTGTCCACGCCCGACAGGGCCAGGGCCAGCAGGAGGTTGAGCGCCGCCTCCGCCACGACGCCCCGCGCGTTGGTGGGCTGCGGGAAGTGGGGGATGGACTGGTGGGCAGCTGTGCATGGGGCCGTCAGGGGTCGGTTGCGTCGATGCAACATGGCGCCTCGCCGGACACGTGACTCAGCCGCCTTGGGCCAGGGACCAGCCGCCCCGGGATCATGACCCCCCTGCGGGCGAGCACCGCCCCACCCTAGCGCACTCCCCCGCCTCACCTCCAGGATGGCGGCGTGGGGAAGGTGTGCCAGGTCCTGCAGCATGCGCTGCGGCAGGCCCTGCGCATGCACCACGTCGGCGACCGTGCCCGCGGCGTCCACCCGGACCGCAGTGGCGAGGAGACTCAGGGCCGTGGACGCCTGGGTAAGAGAGAACCATGAGCGTGTGTGTTTGGGAATGGGAATGCAGAGGTCGAAGAGATACACGAGGGAGGACCACGGTCCGCGGCGTGCATGAGCTGTCCTGCTTTAGGAGTCCCGTCGTGTTCACTGGGAAGCAACAGGCCGGCAGGACATGGTGCTGAGTGCAGGGGATCGGCACGGCTCGACCCTGACGCCAACGGACTGCCACATTCAGATCGGCGCCATCCATGTGTTCAAGAACCCCCTCGTAAGTACCTGGACGGTGTCAGGGGAGGCAGCGTCCCCCACCAGGCATGCCAGCATGGTGCGGGACGACCGCAGCGTGCGCAGCATAGACTCGCAGGGGGCGCCAAACACGGCGTCGGCCTCCGCAAGAACATCGGCAGCAGCAACGTCGTCACCTGGGGAGGTGATGGGGGTTTGCTTTCGCGAATGAGACTCCTAGCCAGCATGCTCCTGGGACAGGAACAGTATGCTTCAGGCTTGAAGCCAGGGTCCCCTATGTCCCCTGCCATAAGGGCCACAGACTTCCCCACCAGGCGCAGGCTCACCCAGCTCATGGACACCTCGCACCCTCATCCCGCACTCGCCGGGGCAACCACCAAACCCTCCTCTTACACACACCCACCCCCGCTGCCTCACCGTCCATCACGATCTGCAGGACAGGCCCTGGCACCGCCAGCTCCTCCGGCGGCGTCACCAGGGCCAGCAGGCTGGAAAGCGCGGCCCAGAGGGGCGTGCGCACCCGCGGCGCGGCGTGAGCGGCGCCCAGCGCGCGCAGCAGCGCCTCCAGCGAGGCCTGCAGCACGAGCGGGGCCGGCATTGCGCCGCCCACGTCAGCGCCCCGCCCCCGCACGCACTCCAGCAGGGCGGCGGCCGCGGCAGCCGCAGCCTGCGCGAGGGCGGCGGCGGCGGGCACAGCGCCCTGGCCGGCGAGCTGCGCGACGGCGGCCAGGGAGGTGTCCAGCAGGCGGCTGAGCAGCGGGGAGGCCTCCTCGGCGGAGGCGGCCGCCAGATCGAGCCTGTATGGTTGGCGGTGGTGCGCATGAACAGGGGGCCAGGGGGCCGATGAGGTGAGCCCTGTTGCCAATCCCTCTCCACATCCCAACAGCATGCCCACCTGTGCGTCAGCGCCACCACGATCGCGTCCCTCCAGGCCCCCGCAAGGAAAGCGCGCGCGCTGGCCTCCTCCGCCCAGGCGTTGTGCTGCTGGGCGTGGCGCAGGATCAGCTGGAAGGCCGCCCGCGTGTCCTCCACGGACCCGGCGCCGGCGGCGACGGCCTCGTCAAACCTATGCGGGAGGGGGCAGGGAGGAGGAATGTCGCAGGGTGACAGCATGCGCGCAGAGGACCATGCATTGAAGCCTGACACGGCCCCAGCGGGTTCGTGGTGGTGGAGTGCGACCTAGGAAAGCAGACCTAGACAGGGGCTCTAGATGTGTCGTTCATGCCACTGCTTGTCTGCGCTCCTTGGTCCCCATCGCCATCCCAACCAGGTTTGCCCGCCCTGCACCTCATACCTGTGCAGCAGGTCACTCTTGAGTGCAAAGAGGTCCACGACCACCACGCCCGTGTCGCCCGCCACCTCGGCCGCCAGCCCCTCCAGCACGGCGTGGCACGGCGCAGCAGAGAGCGCATCTGCGAGGCCCAGCGCCTGCGCATTGGCGGGGTGTTGATGGGGGACGGAAAAGGCGTGGATCTGCTGTGCGCAAAACTAGGTCTCGAAGCAGGAAGCTCGCATGGCCCCGCAGGCGGTATCGGTGCCCTATGGCCAACCCTTTCCTACAGTTCCGAGTCGCATGCACCCCCTCGCACGCGCGCACACACCTGCACGAGGTGCTGCAGCTTGGGCGGGGCGTCGGACAGCGCGCTGGCGGGGGCCGTCGTCTCCGAGCCCAGCGACTCCAGCAGGCCCCGCGCAACGCTCCCTGGGCGAGCAGGACAAGATCGAAGGGGTGCTTGGTCTGATTGAAGAATGACTGGGTTGTGAAGTGGGTTCGATACGGCGTTATAACAGCAAGGTACCACGGGGAAGATGAGAGGGGTTGAGGCCCAATGGGGTTGTTGGGCCCCCCACGGTGTGCGTTCAAGGAGCCTCACCCCTGGGCTCCCGGCAGATGACTGTCTCTGTATCGGATGGGAGGCCGGTGGCCTACGTCCGCGCTGCTCCCCACTGAATCCATTCTCCGAGCCCTGCCACCTTCCTCTCCCCCGCATGACCGCTTACCACATTCCCCCCATCCCCCCCAAATTAATAACAGCAGGACCCCAGCCCACCTGCGTCGCCCAGCAGGGTGCGGAGCAAGAGTTTCAGCGCTTCGCGGTGCAGGCCCACCGCCGCGTCGGCGGCGTGCAGGGCCTCGGCCAGGAGGAGCAGG